CCCCAAAACCCCAAAACCCCAAAACCCCTAAAACTTGCATTAAAATTGAAATATCCAACTTCAAAATTTTACCCTAACCCTATCATAACTCTCCTTTAAACCCCTCAAACCCCCTCAAAATCTGCTTCCGGAACCTTCTTCCCTTAAAATCTTAAAATTTTTAACCCCTTTCCCAAATTCCCTCCAAATCCTTCATTCCCCTTTAAAAATCTCTTAACCCCATTTAACCCCCTTTATGGTCCTAAAATCAGGCTATTCCTTAAAAATTTCATTTTCTTCATTCTCGCTTAAGACATTGGCCCGGGCAATCAGGGATCTGGAAAAGCTGTTTTTGAGATGTTTGAGGGACTTAGAGAGCTTTTAGGGAGATTAGGGATTTTTAGACATTTTACCATTTTAAGGGGGTAATTTTGAGTCATGAAAGGTTTAAGATAAATCCTTTGTGATGGGTTCTAGTTTTAAAGAAAATCTACAAATTTTACATAAAATCCATTAGAATTAGCATAATTTCTTTTATGAGTTCGTATAATTGACTGTTTGTCTATAGGCCAGATCTGGTTACTCGATCAAACTTTTCCAAATGGATTCACCAGTATTCGATATTCCCAAAACCAAAGATAGCAAAGACTACAAAGAAAAAAGAGAGAAAAGAAGTAATTACTTCAGAGTTATGAGCCAGATGTCTCATGATACTTATCAAGTCAGCCTTCGTAAAAAGCAGAAACAACAAAGATTTAGATCTAAGAGGTTTAGCCCTATTAGATTCTTATCTCCTATTTATGAGAAGTCCATTAAACCTGAGAAAATTTCTACTTATAAAGAAATAATGCAGGATATCGAAAAATACACCCAGATGAACTTTGATGATGTTCCAGATGAATTCTTAGCTAGCATTGAACATGGAGATTATACCTTTGAAGACTATGAAGAAGCCCTCAATTCCCCTAAAGAGCCAATATACCAATACCTCACCCTCCAAATCCTCAAAACCCTCTCAAAACTCACTCCTGAGCCCAAATACCCCTCTTCCGCCACCCAAACCTTCCTCGAAGCCTGTCTCTCCTCCAAATACGAACAAATCATGTCCAAAACGCTCAATCTCCTCTGCCACCACCTCTCCATCTTCAGTCCCTCCCAACACTTCTACAACTTCCTCCTGGCCATTTCCTTCCCAACCCCCTCTTCCTACTACCCCTACTCCCTCCTCCACTACACCGCCACCCTCCTCACCTCCCTCGAAGACCCCGCTCCCATCACCAGCCTCTGCGTAGCCCACCTCGTCCCCCTCACCTTCCTCAAAATCCCAGATCCCTTCACAATCCCTTCCACACTCACCGTCCTCGCAGCCACTGCTTCCTCCCTTCCAGACACTGCCATCGCCACTGTAGCCCAGTGGCTACTGGCCGTAGCCAGTGACCAGAAGGAATACAGTGAAAACGCGGTGTACGTGCTGGCGGGGATAAGTCAGAAGTGAACAGAGGTCTTGTTGAAGGAGGAGGTGGTGAAGTGGCTGGTTGAGGATGAGGGGATCTGGGCGGTGAAGATTTTAGGGGAGTTGTGTACGGAGAAGGAGGGGAGAGGAGTGGTGATTGAGGCAATGGAGGATTTGGAAGGGGTCTTGGGGAGATTGGCAGGGGGGTTGGAGACTGGGGAGAGTGAAGGGTTGATGGGAGTGGGGACGATGGAGTGTTTGGTGGCTGGAGGGGATGAGAGGGTGGTAGAGAGGATGTTGAAGATGAAGTTGTGTGAGAGATTGGTTGAGAATGCGGAGGAGTGATGGGGAAATGAGCCTGTGATTGTGAGAGCGATAGGGAGGGTCATCTGTTGTGTGATTTGTTATTGAAAGAGTCAGGATTTGAAGCAATTGTTTACGCCGGAGATTATGTCGGTTATTTATCAGTGCTTGGATTATATGAATGGGCCTATGGTGGTTTCAAAAGCTCTTATGGCTGTTCAAAGGTTTTTAGAAAATGACACAAGAAGCAATGACGGATTTATGGCATACTTCACCGAAACAGGAGGGTCAGACCTATTAGAAAAACTCCAAAAACATCCTAACAACTGCATCCGGACCACTGCCGTCGACATCATCAAGAACTTCTTTGACTACACTGAAACAGATGAAGACTTCATCGAGCAAGATCTCGAATTCTAACTCCAAAATTTAATTCCAATTAAACCTAATTTTAAAGGGGTTTTGGGGTTTTGGGGTTTTGGGGTTTTGGGG